CGGGAGGAAAATAATATTTTATGCTGCAAGGAGGCGAGAAAACATGAAAGGCGGGATTAGAGAGACTCCGCTACCAATCAGGGATGGTATATAGTTCTAGATACATTGTTACATTGTTCCAGCTTGGATCAACTATGTATATAGTAGCCAGGGGCGGACTCACCATTCCAACACTCGGGCGCTGCCTGAGGGCCCGGGGTCAGTAGGGGGCCCCATGAAATGCCCCGGTACCTTTTTATAGGCTTTCTTGGGTGTGCTTTGAGTTTGGGCAAAGACACAGGGGCCCCATGACCCCTATTGCCCGGGGCCCATGACTTGTCAATCCGCCCCTGATAGTAGTGATGGGCCGAATACCCCCCCCCAGTTTGCGGTCGAACATTCAAACATAATGAAAGTTCGACCGCAAACTTCAAACAGACGGGACAATATACTGAGCGGTGTCTTCCTGCATGTGAGTGTGTGGTGCGATCCCGCTCAGCGACTACAATCCGGAGGGAGTTCTAGGATGAAGTCACACGGTATTTTAGTAGTGAGACATCCATTCATGTTTCCGCTGTCAGTGGGGTTTCTGGTGTCAGTGAGGTTCCTGGTGTCAGTGGGGTTCCTGGTGTCAGTAGGGTTCCTGGTGTCAGTGAGGTTCCTGGTGTAAGTGGGGTTCCTGGTGTCAGTGAGGTTCCTGGTGTCAGTGGGGTTCCTGGTGTCAGTGGGGTTCCTGGTGTCAGTGAGGTTCCTGGTGTCAGTGGGGTTCCTGGTGTCAGTGGGGTTCCTGGTGTCAGTGGGGTTTTCCTGGTGTCACTGAGGTTCCTGGTGTCAGTGAGGTTCCTGGTGTCAGTGGGGTTCCTGGTGTCAGTGAGGTTCCTGGTGTAAGTGGGGTTCCTGGTGTCAGTGGGATTCCCGGCTGACAGCTGAATGGAGAAAGAATTGCCAGCAATTCAAAAAATTTTTTTTAAAAAAGGACCGGTGTGGGGGTCCCCCCATCCATACCAAGCCCTTCGGGTCCAGATTGAGTTTTGAGGGGAACCCCCATGCCAACATTTGTTCCTCCCAAAATCCATACCAGACCTTTATCCGAGCATGCAGCCCAGGCAGTTTAGGAGAGGGGGGGGGGGAGTGAGCGCCCTCCAGAACCATATCAGGTCATACGCCCTCAACATGAGGGGTGCTTTGGGAAAGGAGGGCCTCCCCCCCCCAAAGCACCTTGTCCCAATGTTGATGCTCCTAATGAGACCATGGATGGTGTCCCGGGGAATTTCCTCCCAGATCTGGGCCAGGGCATCACTGAGCTCCCGGACAGTCTGAGGTGCAACCTGGTGGTATCGGATGGACCGAAACATGACATCCCAGAGGGGTTCTATTGGATTTAGGTCAGGAGAGCGTGGGGGCCAATCAATGGTATCAATTCCTTCATCCTCCAGGAACTGCCTGCATACTCTCCCCACATGAGGAGGGCATTGTCTGCACCGGGAGGAACCCAGGACCCACCGCACCAGGAGGAACCCAGGACCCACCGCACCAGGAGGAACCCAGGACCCACTGCACCGGGAGGAACCCAGGAGCCACTGCACCAGGAGGAACCCAGGAGCCACTGCACCTAGAGGAACTAAGGACCCACTGCACCTAGAGGAACTAAGGACCCACCGCACCAGGAGGAGCCCATGACCCACCGCACCAGGAGGAACCCAGGACCCACCGCACCAGGAGGAACCCAGAATCCACTGCACCAGGATGAACCCAGGACCCACCGCACCAGGAAGAACTCAGAACCCACCGCACCAGGAGGAACCCAGGGCCCCCTGCACCAGGAGGAACCCAGGACCCACTGCACCAGGAGGAACCCAGGACCCACTGCACCAGGAAGAACCCAGGACCCACTGCACCAGGAGGAACCCTGGACCCACTGCACCAGCATAGGGTCTGACAATGGGTCCAAGGATTTCATCCCGATACCTAATGGCAGTCAGGGTGCCATTGTCTAGCCTGTAGAGGTCTGTGTGTCCCTCCATGGAGATGCCTCCCCAGACCATCACTGACCCACCACCACAACGGTCATACTGAACCATGTTACAGGCAGCAGAACGTTCTCCATGGCTTCTCCAGAGCCTTTCATGTCTGTCACATGTGCTCAGGGGGAACCTGCTCTCATCGGTGAAAAGCACAGGGCGCCAGTGGTGGACCTGCCAATTCTGGGGTTCAATGGCCAATGCCAATCCAGCTCTGTGGTGCCGGGCAGTGAGCACAGGGCCCACTAGAGGACGTCGGGCCCTCAGGCCACCCTCATGAAGTCTGTTTCTGATTGTTTGGTCAGAGACATTCCCACCAGTGGCCTGCTGGAGGTCATTTTGTAGGGCTCTGGCAGGGATAATCCTGTTCCTCCTTGTACAAAGGAGCAGATACCGGTCCTGCTGATGGGTTGAGGACCTTCTACAGCCCTGTCCAGGTCTCCTAGAGGAACTGCCTGTCTCCTGGAATCTCCTCCGTGCTCTCGTCTCCTGGAATCTCCTCCATGCTCTCGTCTCCTGGAATCTCCTCCGTGCTCTCGTCTCCTGGAATCTCCTCCGTGCTCTCGTCTCCTGGAATCTCCTCCGTGCTCTCGTCTCCTGGAATCTCCTCCATGCTCTCGTCTCCTGGAATCTCCTCCGTGCTCTCGTCTCCTGGAATCTCCTCCGTGCTCTCGTCTCCTGGAATCTCCTCCATGCTCTCGTCTCCTGGAATCTCCTCCATGCTCTCGTCTCCTGGAATCTCCTCCATGCTCTTGTCTCCTGGAATCTCCTCCGTGCTCTCGTCTCCTGGAATCTCCTCCATGCTCTTGTCTCCTGGAATCTCCTCCATGCTCTCGTCTCCTGGAATCTCCTCCATGCTCTCATCTCCTGGAATCTCCTCCATGCTCTCGTCTCCTGGAACTTCCTCCATGCTCTTGTCTCCTGGAATCTCCTCCATGCTCTTGTCTCCCGGAATCTCTTCCATGCGGTGTAGTAGCAGTGTAGTAGCGACGTATTAGCAGTGTAGTAGCGATGTAGTAGTGGTGTAGTAGCCGTGTAGTAGCCGTGTAGTAATGGTGTAGTAGCAGTGTAGTAGCGACGTATTAGCAGTGTAGTAGCAGTGTAGTAGCGACGTATTAGCAGTGTAGTAGCAGTGTAGTAGCGAAGTATTAGCAGTGTAGTAGCGATGTAGTAGAGGTGTAGTAGCCGTGTAGTAGCGGTGTAGTAGCCGTGTAGTAGCGGTGTAGTAGCAGTGTAGTAGCGACGTATTAGCAGTGTGTAGTAGCTGTGTAGTAGCGACGTATTAGCAGTGTAGTAGCAGTGTAGTAGCGACGTATTAGCAGTGTAGTAGCGAAGTATTAGCAGTGTAGTAGCAACGTATTAGCAGTGTAGTAGCGACGTATTAGCAGTGTAGTAGCAGTGTAGTAGTGACGTATTAGCAGTGTGTAGCGACGTAGCGACGTATTAGCAGTGTAGTAGCGACGTATTAGCAGTGTAGTAGCAGTGTAGTAGCGACGTATTAGCAGTGTAGTAGCAGTGTAGTAGCGACGTATTAGCAGTGTAGTAGTAGCGACGTATTAGCAGTGTAGTAGCAGTGTAGTAGCGACGTATTAGCAGTGTAGTAGCAGTGTAGTAGCGAAGTATTAGCAGTGTAGTAGCGACGTATTAGCAGTGTAGTAGCAGTGTAGTAGCGAAGTATTAGCAGTGTAGTAGCGACGTATTAGCAGTGTAGTAGCAGTGTAGTAGCGACGTATTAGCAGTGTAGTAGCGACGTATTAGCAGTGTAGTAGCGAAGTATTAGCAGTGTAGTAGCGACGTATTAGCAGTGTAGTAGCAGTGTAGTAAGTAGCGACGTATTAGCAGTGTAGTAGCGACGTATTAGCAGTGTAGTAGCGACGTATTAGCAGTGTAGTAGCGACGTATTAGCAGTGTGTAGCAGTGTAGTAGCGACGTGTAGCAGTGTAGTAGCGACGTATTAGCAGTGTATTAGCAGTGTAGTAGCGACGTATTAGCAGTGTAGTAGCGACGTATTAGCAGTGTAGTAGCGAAGTATTAGCAGTGTAAGTAGCAGTAAGCAGTGTAGTAGCGACGTATTAGCAGTGTAGTAGCAGTGTAGTAGCGACGTATTAGCAGTGTAGTAGCGACGTATTAGCAGTGTAGTAGCGAAGTATTAGCAGTGTAGTAGCAGTGTGTAGTAGCGACGTATTAGCAGTGTAGTAGCTGTGTAGTAGCGACGTATTAGCAGTGTAGTAGCTGTGTAGTAGCGACGTATTAGCAGTGTAGTAGCGACGTATTAGCAGTGTAGTAGCGAAGTATTAGCAGTGTAGTAGCAGTGTAGTAGCGACGTATTAGCAGTGTAGTAGCTGTGTAGTAGCGACGTATTAGCAGTGTAGTAGCTGTGTAGTAGCGACGTATTAGCAGTGTAGTAGCTGTGTAGTAGCGAAGTATTAGCAGTGTAGTAGCGACGTATTAGCAGTGTAGTAGCGACGTATTAGCAGTGTAGTAGCGACGTATTAGCAGTGTATTAGCTGTGTAGTAGCGAAGTATTAGCAGTGTGTAGTAGCGACGTATTAGCAGTGTATTAGCAGTGTAGTAGCGACGTATTAGCAGTGTAGTAGCGACGTAGTAACGGTGTAGTAGAGATGTAGCAGTGTATACATATGGGCTGTCTGCTTTACTAAATTAAAATAGTCAGCCAGCTCCGCCCTCGCCCTGATGTTGCTCTGCTCCGCCTTCGCCCTGATGTTGGTAACGGATTATTTTTAAATAAAGTTTGTATAAAGTAGAAGGTAGGACATTCGGTATATAACACAAACATGACGTCACTACTGATCTGCGTGGACAATGTACACACATGATTGGCTGCCGCTCCTTTGACGTCTCTGTCGTGTGGCACTACACCCATCTGCGCGGCATCTCGGCCTCAGAGTCCCGCACAGGTCACGTGACCGTCTCCACCCCCCGTTCGGCTCGCGTTCTCGCTAAGTTTGTCCTCCTCCGGCCGCCGTTTCCGGGTTAAAGCTGGGAGAAGCCGGAAGTGACGTCCCTTTCTCTCCTCTGGTGTCTGGAGCCGCAGCTGGTGAGTGTGTGAGGCGCGGAATCCGCTACCATCCTCCGTGTAGGTCGGGGCCCGGCAGGGGAGAGGAGTGCGGGGGGCCGGGCGAGGGGTGGAGGAGGCCGGGCGGGGAGGGATATTTGTGGGGTGAGATGTGTGGAGGGTAACTGTTGTCTGCTTGTCTCCCGCAGGTCCCGGATAGAGCTGCAGCCATGGTGAGTCCTGTGTGTGCGGAGGGGGGGTGTCACGTGGTATTATAGAGAACCTGTCCTGTGTGTGATGTCATCTTGTCACCCTCCCCCCCCCCCCCCCCCCCCCCCCCCCCCATATTCATGTCCTAGATCTGTGTAGCCTTGTGTCCAATCTGGTGGTGGGGGGACACAGGTGGTGGTGGGGGATGTGGCCCCCCGGAGGAGGTGGGGAGGACATGGGTGGTGGGGGGGGACGTGGCCCCCGGAGGAGGTGGTGGGGACACGGGTGGTGGTGGGGGACGTGGCCCCCCGGAGGAGGTGGTGGGGACACGGGTGGTGGTGGGGACGTGGCCCCTTGGAGGAGGTGGTGGGGACACGGGTGGTGGTGGGGGACGTGGCCCCCTGGAGGAGGTGGTGGGGACACGGGTGGTGGGGGGGACGTGGCCCCCCGGGGAGGTGGGGAGGACACGGGTGGTGGGGAGGACACGGGTGGTGGGGGGGACGTGGCCCCCCGGAGGAGGTGGGGGGGGACGTGGCCCCCCGGAGGGGGTGGTGGGGACACGGGTGGTGGGGATGTGGCCCCCGGAGGAGGTGGTGGTGGGGGTTACACGGGTAGTGGTGGGGATAGGCACGCAGGTGGTGGTGACATGGGTGGTGGGGACGTGGGCCCCCGGAGGAGGTGAGGATGTGGCCCCCAGAGGAGCTGGTGACAGGGGTGGTGGGGACGTGGCCCCCGGAGGAGGTGAGGATGTGGCCCCCAGAGGAGCTGGTGACAGGGTGGTGGGGACTGTGGCCCCCGGAGGTGGTGAGGATGTGGCCCCCCAGAAGAGCTGATGGGTGGTGGGGACGTGGCCCCCGGAGGAGGTGGTATACCCTCGTGTAAAGGGATGTGCTTTCTCACCAGGGAGCCCACAGACTTCAGTGCAGGTTGGGGGTTAGATTCTCATACAACTACTGTGCACCGGTCTGGCTCTGCGATTGCTGTGGGTTCTACCTGAGCTTTGCTTCACTATCCCCCCCGACTTCCACAGCGACCTCCCAGTCTGCCTGTACTACACATACATGGCCTCAGGGAATGTCATCCGGATACTCCAGTGGTGGGGGGCGAGCCTTGGGATGGACTACTCCTGTCATCTTTTGGGGCCGAGATACACTATATTGCCAGAAGTATTGTCCCAATCCCCTCCGTATCATGGGATCTGGGTGTCCCAATCCCCTCCGTATCATGGGATCTGGGTGTCCCAATCCCCTCCGTATCATGGGATCTGGGTGTCCCAATCCCCTCCGTATCATGGGATCTGGGTGTCCCAATCCCCTCCGTATCATGGGATCTGGGGGTGTCCCAATCCCCTCCGTATCATGGGATCTGGGTGTCCCAATCCCCTCCGTATCATGGGATCTGGGGTGTCCCAATCCCCTCCGTATCATGGGATCTGGGTGTCCCAGTCCCCTCCGTATCATGGGATCTGGGTGTCCCAGTCCCCTCCGTATCATGGGATCTGGGTGTCCCAGTCCCCTCCGTATCATGGGATCTGGGTGTCCCAGTCCCCTCCGTATCATGGGATCTGGGTGTCCCAGTCCCCTCCGTATCATGGGATCTGGGTGTCCCAGTCCCCTCCGTATCATGGGATCTGGGTGTCCCAGTCCCCTCCGTATCATGGGATCTGGGTGTCCCAGTCCCCTCCGTATCATGGGATCTGGGTGTCCCAGTCCCCTCCGTATCATGGGATCTGGGTGTCCCAGTCCCCTCCTCCGTATCATGGGATTCAGGTGTTCCAATCCCCTCCATGGACACAGGTGTATACAATCCATCCCCTAGGCATGCAGACTGCTTCTATAAACATTGGTGAAAGAATGGGTCGCTCTCAGGAGCTCAGTGACTCCAAGCGTGGTCCCGTGATAGGTGGGCCACCTGGGCAATAAGTCCATCCGTGACATTTCCTGGCTACTAAATATTCCACGCTCAACTGTTAGTGGGGGATTATAACAAAGTGGAAGCCACTGGGAACAACAGCCACTCAGCCACCAAGTGGTAGGCCACGTCACATGACAGGGCGGGGTCAGCGCATGCTGAAGCGCACAGTGCGCAGAAGTCGCCAACTGTCTGCAGAGTCAATAGCTAAAGACCTCCAAACTTGGTGTGGCCTTCAGATGAGCCCAACAACAGTGCGTAGAGAGCTTCATGGAATGGGTTTCCATGGCCGAGCAGCTGCATCCAAGCCTTCCATCACCAAGTGCAATGCAAAGCGTGGGATGCCGTGGTGTAAAGCACGCTGCCACTGGACTCTAGAGCAGAGGAGGCGTGTTCTCTGGAGGGACCAATCACACTTCTCGGTCTGGCAATCTGATGGACGTGTCTGGGGTTTGGCGGTGGCCAGGAGAACGGTACTTGCCTGACTGCATTGTGCCAAGGGTAATGTTTGGTGGAGGGGGATTATGGTGTGGGGGTGTTTTCAGGGGTTGGGTTGGCCCCCTAGTTCCAGTGAAGGGAACTCTTAAGGCGACATTTTGTACAATTTCATGCTCCCAACTTTGTGGGAAGAGTTTGGGGATGGCCCCTTACTGCTCCAACATGACTGCGCACCAGTGCACAAAGCAAGGTCCATAAAGACATGGAGGAGCCAGTTTGGGGTGGAGGAACTTGACTGTCCTGCACAGAGTCCTGACCTCAACCCCATAGAACACCTTTGGGATGAATTAGAGCGGAGACTGCGAGCCAGGCCTCCTCCCCCGACATCAGTGCCCCCTCCCCCCCCGACATCAGTGCCTGACCTGACAAATGTGCTTCTGGAAGAATGGTCCAACCTTCCCATAGACACCCTCCTAAACCTTGTGGGGGGCCTTCCCAGAAGAGGCAAAGGGCGGGGCCAACTCAATATTGGACCCTACGGACTAAGACTGGGGGGCCATTACAGGTCATGTGTGTGGGAAGGGCGGGGCCAACCCAATATTGATCCCTACGGACTAAGACTGGGGGAGCCATTACAGGTCATGTGTGTGGAAAGGGCGGGGGGGGGACCAACTCAGTATTGAACCCTACGGACTAAGACTGGGGGGGGGGGTTACCATTAAAGGTCATGTGTGTGGAAAGGCGGGGCCCAATACTTGGGGCAATATAGTGTATATGGGGGGGGGGGCGGGGACAATACTTGGGGCAGTGTAGTGTATATATGGGGGGGGGGACAATACTTGGGGGCACTCTAGTGTATATATGGGGGGGGGGGGGGGGGACAATACGTGGGGCAGTGTAGTGTATATATGGGGGGGGGGACAATACATGGGGCAGTGTAGTGTATATATGGGGGGGGGGACAATACATGGGGAAATGTAGTGTGTATATGGGGGGGGGGGGGGACAATACATGGGGCAGTGTAGTGTGTATATGGGGGGCACTCTGGGCTTCCCCAGTACCTAGAAGGGGGGTATCTGTGTTTTCTCTGGTCTCCAGTGCTGGGCTCACCCTGAGGCTGTGTATTACGTCCTGTTATGTTCTATATAGAAAATCATAGACTGGAGGCCCAGGGAGATGTCAGGGTTAAGGGGGGGGGGGGCATTTCCTTTACAGACCCCCTCCCAGGAGCGGACATGATCCCCTATTGCCCGGGGGCCCCATGATCCCCTATTGCCCCGGGGGCCCCGTGAGTTGTTAGTCCGCCCCGCCCCCTCCCCACCCTCTCCTGGCGGGGGCCGTACAGTGAAGATGGTATAGGGGCTCATTTTTTGTTTGCGATGTCTGGCCCATAGGTTCGCCTGCGCCCCCTCCTAGGGTACAGGGAGGTCCTCTCTGCAGGGATTGGAAGTCCTGAAATCCAACTCTTCTGTGTTTTGTCTTTTAGCCTCGCAAAATCGAAGAGATCAAAGACTTCCTGCTGACGGCCCGAAGGAAGGACGCCAAATGTGAGTATTCACTGCCAGACACAACTACTGACCCCCGTCCAGATCGGAGTCCTCGGCCCAGTCCTGATGAAGAACCTACAAACCTGGTCCTGGTTTCTGGTTTTGGTTCATCTGTCACAGATCTGATTGGCTGTATCCTGAGGGTGGATGCTGTCCTAGCTTGTGGCTGTAGTACTGGTTGATGTACCATTTGTAGGGTGGATCTTTGGTGGTGCTGCTCATGTTTAAAACCCCTTCAATACCGGGCACTTTCCCCCCCCCCCCCCCCCCCCCCCCCCGCCGCGCACACACTCCTGTCCAGGCCAATTTTCATCTTTCAGCGCTGTCACACTTTGATTGCGCGGTCATGCAACACTGTACCCAAAACTGAATTTATATCTTTTTTTTTTTTTTTTTCACAAAAAATAGATTTCTGTTGGTATTTGATCACCATGGGGGGGGAGGGGTTATTATATAAATGGAAAAAAAATGAGAGCCTGTTTTGATGCAGAAATGTGGATTTCTTAGAGAAACACCAGGACAGATGTGGCTCCCCCCGTGTGTGTGTGGGTGTTGTGGCCCCGTGTGTGTGTGTGTGTGGTGTTGTGTGGCCCTGTGTGTGTGGCTCCCCCTGTGTGTGTGTGTGGGTGTCTGTGGCCCTGTGTGTGTGGGGCTGTTTTTTGTGTGTGTGTGGGTTGTCTGTGGCCCTGTGTGTGGCTGTTGTTTTGTGTGTGTGTGTGTGGGTTGTCTGTTGCCCTGTGTGTGGCTCCCCCTGTGTGTGGGTGTCTGTGGCCCTGTGTGTGGCTCCCCCTGTGTGTGTGTGTGTGTGTGTGTTGTGGCCCTGTGTGTGGCTCCCCCTTGTGTGTGTGTGGGTGTCTGTGGCCCTGTGTGTGGCTCCCCCCGTGTGTGTGTGGGTGTGTTGGTGTGGCCCCGTGTGTGTGTGGGTGTGTTGTGGCCCCGTGTGTGTGGGGGGGGGGGGGGGGTCTCCCCCTGTGTGTGTGTGGGTGTTGTGGCCCCGTGTGTGTGGTCCCCCTGTGTGTGTGTGTGGCTTTGTCTGTGGCCCTGTGTGTGTCTCCCTCGTGTGTGGGTGTTTGTGGCCCCGTGTGTCTGTGGCCCTGTGTGTGTTGTTTGGGTGTCTGTGGCCCTGTGTTGTGTGGGTGTCTGTGGCCCTGTGTTGTCTGTGGCCCCGTGTGTGTGTCTCCCCCCTCCCCCCCGTGGGTGTCTGTGGCCCCGTGTGTGTGTCTCCCCCCTCCCCCCCATGGGTGTCTGTGGCCCCGTGTGTGTGTCTCCCCCCTCCCCCCCATGGGTGTCTGTGGCCCCGTGAGTGTGTCCCCCCCCGTCTCCTCATTTTAAAGCTTCCCTCTTCCTCACAGCTGTGAAGATTAAGAAGAACAAGGACAACGTGAAGTTCAAGGTGCGCTGCAGCAAATATCTGTACACTCTGGTCATCACCGACAAAGAGAAGGCAGAGAAGCTGAAACAGTCCCTTCCTCCCGGTGAGTCCGCCATGTCTGTTCTCTGTATCTGCGGTGTGACTCTAGTCCTTTTAGAGGGGGGGGGGGGGGGGGGGGGGGGGTCGGTCAATAAATTGTTCTTGGAAGGCAGAATTTCCAAAAGAGCCTTTTTATGGGGGGAAAAATTTTGCATGAAAGCTGAGATCCACGAATTCAGCAACTTTGCAAGAACTGCAGGCACACCATGAGAAGTCCAATTAGGTGCATGTAACCTCCTGGACTTCTATCATGTGACAGGTTTATTGCGCTCCCAAAGCTGTGAGGAGAGAAGATAACAGCAGCTACGCCAGCCCCTCCCCTCTGCTGCCCATTCACAGAAGCCTTTGTATTTCAACTTGTTCAAAATATACAAAGGCTTCTGTGAATGGGCAGGGGAGATGCAGGCACAGCAGTTCCAGAAATTCTTCCCTTAAAGGAACTGAGACCACAGCAAGCAGTGCTGATAGTGATGTCACGTCCCCGAATCTGCTAATTTGATTGGATAAGTGGAAGGTGACGGAGATCATCCCTCTGCTCTCTTCAGCTTGGCTGTTGTTGGCACACATGGAGCACATGGTCAGCTTCTATCGTTGCCTGTTTTTGTTTTGTTTTTGTTTGTTTTTTTTTCCCCCAATTTTGCTTTTAGCATCACTTGAATGCATTGGCTTCATTTTGCGATGTGGGGGGCGGTAAACTGTCCCGGACGACTTCTAACCATTTTTCTCTCTCTGTTGCAGGTCTGTCAGTGAAAGAACTGAAGTAAATCCTTTCCTGCTCCTTTCCTTGTTCAATAAAAAATGTAAAAACCAAAATGAATGACTTGGATGTCTTGTTATCAGAAAGCGATGGGGGATTCTGTCTTCCGAGCCGGCGGTCGGCTGCTGGAAAAGTATTTGTTCTGTTTTCATGTCACTTCATGTCGGCGAGCTGCCTGTGTGTGACGGACAGGATTGTGCTTTATATTTAAAGTGGAATTAAACGTTCGATGAACCATTTGTAGTCTTTGTGCCGCCAGTCTGGGCAGATGTACAGGAAGGCAGATTGTATTGTTGTAGAACTTTAAATTTGAGTTACTTCCTGGTTTGTGGCCTAGGCCAAAATGATGTCCTACATCCCAGGAGTCTGCAGGAGGGTTTCTTCAGCTAAGCACACCCCTCCTGCCTGCATGCCTCAGCTAAGGGCAGAGGGATTTCAGGAAGTAAATGCTACATGAATCAACTGCCCTTGCTCAAGATGGCTGCAGCCTGAAATGCTGGGGGTGTTTTTTAAAAAGCGATTTTCTCAGCAAAATCATGGAGGGAAACTGGGGGGTGGGTAATAGAAGGTGGCAGGGAGACATGGATGGGGGGAGGGGGAAACGTGGGGAATGGATGGGGGAGACGTGGGGGATGGCTGGGGGAAGGGAGGGAAACTGGAATGGATGGGGGGAGGGAGACGTGGGGGATGAATGGAGGGAGACATTGTGGTGTAGGATGAGAGGAGGGAGGTAGGGGATGGATGGGAAGAGGGAGGGAGATGGGGGGGGGGGGGGGGGGGGGTATGGAAGGGATGGGGAAGTTTGCTTTAAATCTTACAAATGAACGGCCTGGTGGTGCTCAGGTGCGACGCGGTTCCACTTGAATCTTGCATTTCTTCCACTCGCACTCAGTCCTTCCAAGCCCATCATGCGATGGTGCAAACATGGCGCCCCACTTCAGGGGCCGGAAGAATGAGCTGTTGATTCATCTTGATTGTAGTGTAACGATGATCATCTGAGCGCCGGAGTCTGCAGGGTGGATTGGATGAGCACATGGGGGGGGGGGGGGGGGGGGGGGGCAGTTTTGCAGCTGAAATGTAGTGTGCTCATATAATGCTCTTGTTCCCCCCCCCCCCCCCCCCCCCCCCCCCCCCCCCCCCCCCCCCCCCCCCCCCCCCCCCCCCCCCCCCCCCCCCCGATCATCCTGCGATTTTAATGGGTTTCAATAAAAAATTTAGTTTGTTTTCAAGAAATATTTCAAGACTTGGCGGCATCGCTGCATATTTCTGCTGCCCTTTTGAGTTTTTTTTTTTTTTTTTTTGTTTTCAAGATTGAGTTTGGTGGGAGGGGCTGGCAGGCTGTTAAAAATGTCAAAGCCCCCTTACCTCAAGTGTTTGTGAAAGAACACATCCCCTCTATCCCTTTAGACATGCATCACTGGGTTTTATCTTTCAGACTTTAGTCTTTAGAGTTTTTGGGATAAGATCTACTTTAACCCCTTCCAACCTGCCCTGGCATCCCTTTTAAAAGTTCTTACAGATCTGGTTTGGGAAGGTTCGATGATCATGTGACCAGTATGGCTGTCACACCGGTCACATGATTAGAAGCCGGCCCCGCCAGCCACGGAGGGTTTGTTGGGACCGCCGAGCCGGCCCCCCGCCAGCCACGGAGGGTTTGTTGGGACCGCCGAGCCGGCCCCGCCAGCCACGGAGGGTTTGTTGGGACCGCCGAGCCGGCCCCGCCAGCCACGGAGGGTTTGTTGGGACCGCCGAGCCGGCCCCGCCAGCCACGGAGGGTTTGTTGGGACCGCCGAGCCGGCTCCGCCAGCCACGGAGGGTTTGTTGGGACCGCCGAGCCGGCCCCGCCAGCCACGGAGGGTTTGTTGGGACCGCCGAGCCGGCCCCGCCAGCCACGGAGGGTTTGTTGGGACCGCCGAGCCGGCCCCGCCAGCCACGGAGGGTTTGTTGGGACCGCCGAGCCGGCCCCACCAGCCACGGAGGGTTTGTTGGGACCCGGAGCCATTGCTGGCAGCTGTCTGTATGCTGTCCGGACCTAACCATTGCCTGCCCAATGACGCATTTGTGCGCCAAGTAGGTATTAAAGCCCAGCTTTCTGCCACCACATATATGGGGTGTAAATGGATTAAACTGCAGGTGGATCCTCACATAACTTCTTGTAATTGGCCTCTGTATGTTCACTATGCAGTAGAAAGCCTTTTGCTGTCTCAGGTGCAAAAAAAAAAAGCAAACCCTTGATCCTGCCAGAAATACTTTGAGCTGATAGTGTCCTGCCATTGTATCAGGTGCCTCAAGACATCCCCCCCCCCCAATGTGATGGGTGGTCTGGTGTCCTGTTGGGGGCGTGTCAATTCTGCTCCACCATAGTCTCCGCGATGAGAGTTGTCACCCGAGGACAGGAAGGGTTACTGGCAGGATCACCAGATGCAAAAAAAAGACAGAAATAATGATCTGTGTGTTCATTGTAATAGTTGGGCTTCGTGAACATCCAGTGCCGGGTGGTTGGGCTGGTTGCTTTCAATTACAGAATCACTTGAAAAATCTGTGAAATTGTGAAGGACTTGTCTCTAATATAATTTAATTGGCTGCCGGCATCTGACTCGGCCGTTCCGGTCATATGAGAACGATTCCCGGGAAATGGGGGTTTCCTAAAGAAGTAAAATCACGTTCCTTGCTGGAAACTTCATCTCACAGCGACCTCGGAACACAACAAGTGCATCGGCTGCCATCCTAAAGGAGTTGTAAAGGCTTAAGGGCTTTTACCTTCATTCATTATATAGTTAGTCTGGCTGAAAAAAGACAAAAGTCCATCCAGTTCAACCATAAGAAAAAAAAAAGTTACAATCCGACACCCACAGTTGATCCAGAGGAAGGCAAGAAACCCAGCAAAGCACGAACCAATCTGCTCCTGCAGGGGAAACATTCCTTCCTGATCCCCCGAGAGGCAATCAGATATTCCCTGGATCACCTTTCCCTATAAATGTTATATCCAGTTACCATATTTTTCGCTCCATAAGACGCACCTAGGAAAACGAGAAAATACATTTTCTGAACCAATGGACTGCGGACACAGTACAGGAGATGGTCAGAGACTGCAGACATATTACAGGAGATAGTGAGAGACTGCAGACATACTACAGGAGATGACCAGAGACTGCGGACACGGTACAGGAGATGACCGGAGACTGCGGACACAGTACAGGAGATGACCAGAGACTGCAGACATATTACAGGAGATAGTGAGAGACTGCAGACATACTACAGGAGATGACCAGAGACTGCGGACACGGTACGGAGATGACCAGAGACTGCAGACATAGTACAGGAGATGACCAGAGACAGCGGACACGGTACGGGAGATGACCGGAGACTGCGGACACGGTACGGGAGATGACCGGAGACTGCGGACACAGTACAGGAGATGACCAGAGACTGCGGACATAGTACAGGAGATGACCAGAGACTGCAGACATAGTACAGGAGATGACCGGAGACTGCGGACACAGTACAGGAGATGACCAGAGACTGCGGACACAGTACAGGAGATGACCAGAGACTGCGGACACAATACAGGAGATGACCGGAGACTGCAGACACAATACAGGAGATGACCGGAGACTGCAGACACGGTACGGGAGATGACCGGAGACTGCAGACACGGTACGGGAGATGACCGGAGACTGCGGACACGGTACGGGAGACGACCGGAGACTGCGGACACGGTACGGGAGACGACCGGAGACTGCGGACACGGTACGGGAGACGGCCGGAGACTGCGGACACGGTACGGGAGACCGACCGGAGACTGCGGACACGGTACGGGAGACGACCGGAGACTGCGGACACGGTACGGGAGACGACCGGAGACTGCGGACACGGTACGGGAGACGGTCGGAGACTGCGGACACGGTACGGGAGACGACCGGAGACTGCGGACACGGTACGGGAGACGACCGGAGACTGCGGACACACGGTACGGGAGACGACCGGAGACTGCGGACACGGTACGGGAGACGACCGGAGACTGCGGACACGGTACGGGAGACGACCGGAGACTGCGGACACGGTACGGGAGACGACCGGAGACTGCGGACACGGTACGGGAGACGGTCGGAGACTGCGGACACGGTACGGGAGACGGCCGGAGACTGCGGACACGGTACGGGAGACTGCGGACCTTTGGGGAGCGGGTACCCGGCTTTGACAGGTACCCGCTTCCACTGCGATCTCTCTCCCCGTGATCTAGGACACATGACAGGTCCCAGAAGACTACGGGGCCATTCACAAAGCTCAGCGCTTTTCACGCATGCGCAGTGGGCACTTGGCTGTGAAGCTGGACTGAGGGACAGGTAGGACCAAGAAGCAGGCTCTGCTGCACAGAAGAGCTGAGCAACTATTCTAACACGGCGAGGGGGAGGAATACTGGGCTGGCCGCTTCATAAGACACACAGACATTTCCCCCCATTTTTTTTTGGGGGGGGGGGGAGCATCTTATGGAGTGAAAAATACAGTATATTCTGTGTGTCTATGAAAGAGTCCTGGTCTTTATTAATGCCATCCACTGAGCTGGCCACAACCAACTCTTGTCCGACTCTGTTCCACATTCTCACGGCTCTTACTGTGAAGAATCATCAGGATACAAAAAGTCTGCCACTGGTTCCCCCAGCCCCCCACTCCTGAATCTGATCTCAATCCAGCGCTGTGCACTCTTTTCTCCTCACAGGGCAGATTGATGGCTGTTGGAAGCCATTGGCTCCCGCTGCTGTCACTCAAACCCTGTATTGGGGGTGGGGCTGAGCCGGGCTGCCTGTCTATAGATGCAGGCAGCCTGCCTCCAGCCCGCACCATCGCCGCTTCCCACGTGGGGCACTTGGTTAATGAGGAGCCAGAAGCACCAGTGGGGACCCCAGAAGATGGGGATTGGGGTTGCTCTGTAAAACCATTAAACATCCGTTTACACCCCGCCGCTCCATCGGGGTTCTTATCGAGTCCAATCAGAACGTCTGAGTGAAAGGGGCCTAGAACGTCTTGGCTTTAAAGGTTTTACAGAGCAGCCCCAATCCTCTACAGACAGGCACCATGATCCTAACATGCACCAGTGCCCCCATAGGAAGTGGCTTTCCATGGGGGGCACTTGTCTGAAGAGGAGGAGCCAGAAACACCAGTGGGGACCCCAGAAGATGATGATTTGGGCTGCTCTGTAAAACCAATAAAATGTTACACTCACTTTAAAGCCAAAACCTTTTAGTTTGGACTAGAGCAGGGAAGGAACACCTCCTGTGGGGTTTTTGCTCTCATCTGTTGAGGGACAAAAAATATTAATTCAGGTTATACTGCTGCCTACAGGAGGATCGGACACTAACAAAATTCTAGGCCAGTCGTAGGAATGAGCTGCCCTGTGCATGTAGCAGGAACATACGCATTCACGGAACGCTTGGTGTGAACCTAGAACAAAGCAAGGATGAGCACGTTCTCTGCATTCTAGAGGCAGAACTCACAGAGGTGAGGGAATGGATAGGACCAGCCGACCGGCCTAAGTGGACTTGTATTTATTACCTACAAGTGTAGAGTTCTCTCTGGGGTTGTTTTTGAAAATAGAGACCCTCGTCTTGACTTCCATGACCAAAAACAAGCGGCCAAAGTACTCCACACACACTATATTGCCCCAAGTATTGGGCCGCCGTCCTTGCCACGCACATGACCTTTAATGGCCCCCCAAATCTTAAACCGTAGGTTCAATACTGAGTTGGCCCCGCCCTTCCCACGCACATGACCTTTAATGGCCTCCCAGTCTTAGTTCGTAGGGTTCAATATTGAGTTGGCCCCACCCTTTCCACACACATGACCTTTAATGACCCCCCAGTCTTGGTCCGTAGGGTTCAATATTGAGTTGGCCCGCCCCTTTCCACGCACATGACCTTTAATGGCCCCAGTCTTAGTCCATAGGGTTCAATATTGAGTTGGCTCCTCCCTTTCCACGCACATGACCTGTATTGGCCCCCCAGTCTTAGTCTATAGGGTTCAATATTGAGTTAGCCCCGCCCTTTGCAGCTATGACAGCTTCAACTCTTCTGGGAAGGCCGTCCACAAGGTTTAGGAGGGTGTCTATGGGAAGGTTGGACCATTCTTCCAGAAGCACATTTGTCAGGTCAGGCACTGATGTCGGGGGAGGAGGCCTGGCTCGCAGTCTCCGCTCTAATTCATCCCAAAGGTGTTCTATGGGGTTGAGGTCAGGACTCTGTGCAGGACAGTCAAGTTCCTCCACCCCAAACTGGCTCCTCCATGTCTTTATGGACCTTGCTTTGTGCACTGGTGCGCAGTCATGTTGGAACAGGAAGGGGCCATCCCCAAACTCCTCCCACAAAGTTTGGGAGCATGAAATTGTCCAAAATGTCGCCTTAAGAGTTCCCTTCACTGGAACTAGGGGCCAAGCCTAACCCCTGAGGAACAACCCCACACCATAATCCCCCCTCCACCAAACTTTACACTTGGCACAATGCAGTCAGGCAAGTACCGTTCTCCTGGCAACCGCAAAACCCAGACACATCCATCGGATTGCCAGACAGAGAAGCGTGATTGGTCACTCCAGAGAACACGTCTCCTCTGCTCTAGAGTCCAGTGGCGGTGTGCTTTACACCACGGCATCCGACGCTTTGCACTGCACTTGGTGATGGAAGGCTTGGATGCAGCTGCTCGGCCATGGAAACCCATTCCATGGAGCTCTCTACGCACTGTTGTTGGGCTCATCTGAAGGCCACACCAAGTTTTGGAGGTCTTTAGCTATTGACTCTGCAGACAGTTGGCGACTTCTGCGCACTGTGCGCTTCAGCATGCGCTGACCCCGCCCTGTCATGTGACGTGGCCTACCACTTGGTGGCTGAGTGGCTGTTGTTCCCAGTGGCTTCCACTTTGTTATAATCCCACTAACAGTTGAGCGTGGAATATTTAGTAGCCAGGAAATGTCACGGATGGACTTATTGCCCAGGTGGCCACCTATCACGGGACCACGCTTGGAGTCACTGAGCTCCTGAGAGCGACCCATTCTTTCACCAATGTTTGTAGAAGCCGTCTGCATGCCTAGGGGATGGATTGTATACACCTGTGTCCATGGAGGGGATTGGAACACCTGAATCACATGATATGGAGGGGATTGGAACACCTGAATCGCATGATATGGAGGGGATTGGAACACCTGAATCGCATGATATGGAGGGGATTGGAACACCTGAATCGCATGATATGGAGGGGATTGGAACACCTGAATCGCATGATATGGAGGGGATTGGAACACCTGAATCGCATGATATGGAGGGGATTGGAACACCTGAATCGCATGATATGGAGGAGATTGGAACACCTGAATCACATGATTGGGAGGGGATTGGAACACCTGAATCACATGATATGGAGGGGATTGGAACACCTGAATCACATGATATGGAGGGGATTGGAACACCTGAATCACATGATTTGGAGGGGATTGGAACACCTGAATCACATGATTTGGAGGGGATTGGAACACCGGAATCACATGATTTGGAGGGGATTGGAACACCGAATCACATGATTTGTAGGGCGGGGCCAATACTTTTGGCCGTATAGTATGTGTACATCCTTCTGGCTCATATAGTAACCCAGAGAGAAGAATGGCGCCCCTAGAAGCTGCACCGCCACCAATGACAGTGTCTGTATTTTTCTTCTGATGGGTTCTCTGTGATGATACACAATAGCTCAAGCTAACATTCTCTATTAGAACTTCCAAGAAGGTCCAGGCTTTTGCTTTTGCAGACAGAAATAAAATACGCCGCTAGATGGCGCTACGGCACCACATTAAGGAGCACCCCGCGGACATCACAGGGCTTGTTTCCCATTCCTTTCATATTTCTGTAGAGGGATTGGTTGGGATCAGTGCGGTTCTGACTGTATTTCATCCTAAAGTACTTTATGTCAGCCGGCCTTCTTCTTGTATGAAGATTGGATCTATTGGACACCCATCTTTGTAACAAGACAGTGCAATCTGGTGAACCAAATACGGCCGTTATATCAGCTGACGTGTAACGTCTGCGCAGAATACCTTACCTCCTTCTTTCCTCCCCTCCCCCCACTATTGCAATTCAAACTTTTAATGAAATCATTTAATTTTCAAAAAATATCTCTTGTAAGACCTAATGAGGCCATATCTGGGTCTTTCTGATGGCCTTTACCCGAGCTTGGTGAGAGGGGTCATCAGGTCCTGTAGACATCACAACCTCCTACCTGAGTTTGGTGAGAGGGGTCATCAGGCCCCTGTAGACATCACAACCTCCTACCTGAGTTTGGTGAGAGGGGTCATCAGGCCCCTGTAGACATCACAACCTCCTACCTGAGTTTGGTGAGAGGGGTCATCAGGCCCCTGTAGACATCAGAGCCTCCTACCAGGGTTTGGTGAGAGGGGTCATCAGGTCCTGTAGACATCAGAGCCTCCTACCTGAGTTTGGTGAGAGGGGTCATCAGGCCCTGTAGACATCAGAGCCTCCTACCAGGGTTTGGTGAGAGGGGTCATCAGGTCCTGTAGACATCAGAGCCTCCTACCTGAGTTTGGTGAGAGGGGTCATCAGGTCCTGTAGACATCAGAGCCTCCTACACCAGTTTGGTGAGAGGGGTCATCAGGTCCTGTAGACATCAGAGCCTCCTACCAGGGTTTGGTGAGAGGGGTCATCAGGTCCTGTAGACATCAGCGCCTCCTACACCAGTTTGGTGAGAGGGGTCATCAGGTCCTGTAGACATCAGAGCCTCCTACCTGAGTTTGGTGAGAGGGGTCATCAGGCCCCTATAGACATCAGCGCCTCCTACCAGGGTTTGGTGAGAGGGGTCATCAGGTCCTGTAGACATCAGAGCCTCCTACCTGAGTTTGGTGAGAGGGGTCATCAGGCCCCTGTAGACATCAGAGCCTCCTACCAGGGTTTGGTGAGAGGGGTCATCAGGTCCTGTAGACATCAGAGCCTCCTACCTGAGTTTGGTGAGAGGGGTCATCAGGTCCTGTAGACATCAGAGCCTCCTACACCAGTTTGGTGAGAGGCGTCATCAGGTCCTGTAGACATCAGAGCCTCCTACACCAGTTTGGTGAGAGGGGTCATCAGGCTCCTGTAGACATCAAAGCCTCCTACCCAAGTTTGGAGAAAGGGGGTCATCAGGCCCCTGTAGACATCAAAGCCTCCTACCCAAGTTTGGAGAAAGGGGGTCATCAGGCCCCTGTAGACATCAGAGCCTCCTACCTGAGTTTGGTGAGAGGGGTCATCAGGCCCCTGTAGACATCACAACCTCCTACCTGAGTTTGGTGAGAGGGGTCATCAGGTCCTGTAGACATCAGAGCCTCCTACCCGGGTTTGGTGAAAGGGGTCATCAGGCCCCTGTAGACATCAGAGCCTCCTACAAAAGTTTGGTGAGAGGGGTCATCAGGTCCTGTAGACATCAGAACCTCCTACAAAAGTTTGGTGAGAGGGATCATCAGGCCCCTGTACATATCAGAGCCTCCTACCCGGGTTTGGTGAGAGGGGTCATCAGGCCCCTGTAGACATCAGAGCCTCCTACCTGGGTTTGGTGAGAGGGATCATCAGGCCCCTGGAGACATCACAACCTCCTACCTGGGTTTGGTGAGAGGGGTCATCAGGCCCCTGTAGACATCAGAGCCTCCTACCTGGGTTTGGTGAGAGGGGTCATCAGGCCCCTGTAGACATCAAAGCAACCTGCTTCAGATCCTTTTAAATATGCATGCTCCACCCATGCTGCCAACTGCTTCAGACTTTAGCAATAATCAAGCAACTGATTGGCAGATTGTGCAGTTGAAGCCTGCAATACCCTGTTAGCATGCACATCTAAAAGGATTCCAGGAATGTGTTCTTTCATTTATTGCACATGCTACCTGCTGGCCCCTGGGTGCTGCAGCCTTTAGCTGTAATCAGGAAACTGATCAGCAGATTGCACAGCTGAAGTCTGGAGCACTAAGGGAGCATGCACTTGTGAAGGCATTCCACAGATGTGTGTTATTTCATTTAAAGTGCATACTCCCTGCTGGCAATGGGTGTTGCAGGATCTAGCTGTGCAATCTGCAGATCAGTTGCTTGATTACAACTAAATTCTGCAGCACCCAGTGGCCAGGAGTAGACATGCACACTAAATGAAAGAACACTTCCCTGTGATCCCTTTAGATTTGCATGCCCCCCAGGTGCTAAAGGCTTCAGCTTTGAATCTGATGATCAGCTGCTTGATTACAGCTAAAGTCTGCAGCTCCCAGTGGCCAGGAGTAGGCATGCACACTTAACGAAGGAACATATCCCTGTGATCCCTTTAGATTTGCATGCCCCCAGTGGCCAGCATGGGTGCAGCATTAACATTTTAAAGGACGCATGGGGATGTGTACCTTCAAATAATGCTCATGCCCTTGAGAACGTGCTGACAGGGCTCAGGCTGTTGAAAGAAAACAAACTGTAAGACTTCCCACCTTTTGTTTGGATGCACTTGGAGGTGAGCTAACCCCACCCCCGCCCGCCTTCCTCTGTGGGGGAGGGGTCTAGGATATTTGTATTTTTTTTCTGAAAAGGTGAAGCAGGAACTGGGCTTTAGCGCCCCCCTCCCTCCTCAGACCTTTCTGCTCTCCTGCTTTGTGTTGCATTGGGGCAGCCCAGACCGATGAAGAGTAAAGTACAATCACTGCAGGATGCTATGAATCAGAAAACAACTTGAACCGGTACTGAGCGAGTGAAACCTCCCGCATGTTCGTCTGCAATCTAGACTTGGAAACGTCAGAGCGACAAATCCGGTGAAATTCACATCTACAAGAAGAGAGAACTTCTGAAAACCCCGAATCACAGAGAGCACATGAGCGCAGCGAGAACCTCATTAATATCGCGGCGATTAGCGCGGACCCAGCGGGAGACGATTCGCTTTGTTGTGTCCACCAGAATAAAGGGAACTGACCGAAATATAATCACAAGTCTAATTATAATCCTGTGACTGTGCGGAGCGACGGCGGTCATGTGACCGGCCTCCATCGGAACACGCAGCCGTCACAATGGAGCTCTTGATGCAAAGTATTTATTACTGAAGAGGAACAAAGTCTGTCGGCCGTCATTTCCACAACGTGATTTGGCAACAATTCCTCCATCTATTCCCTCCACTTCAAAGTCGGTCAGTTGGAGGAAGTTTCAGTTACAAGGACTAAGGAGAGGGAAGGGTCAGCGAGACACACACATTGTATGGCCAAAAGTATTGTCCTCCCCCCTCCCAAACCATGTGATTCAGGTGTTCCAATCCCCTCCATATCATGTGATTCAGGTGTCCCAATCCCCTCCCAATCATGGGATTCAGGTGTCCCAATCCCCTCCATATCATGTGATTCAGGTGCCCCAATCCCCTCCCAATCATGGGATTCAGGTGTTCCAATCCCCTCCATATCATGTGATTCAGGTGTTCCAATCCCCTCCATATCATGTGATTCAGGTGCTCTAATCCCCACCATATCATGTGATTCAGGTGTTCCAATCCCCTCCAAATCATGTGATTCAGGTGTTCCAATCCCCTCCAAATCATATGATTCAGGTGTTCCAATCCCCTCCATATTATGTGATTCAGGTGCTCCAATCCCCTCCCAATCATGTGATTCAGGTGTTCCAATCCCCTCCATATCATGTGATTCAGGTGCTCCAATCCCCACCCAATCATGTGATTCAGGTGTTCCAATCCCCTCCCAATCATGTGATTCAGGTGCTCCAATCCCCTCCCAATCATGTGATTCAGGTGCTCCAATCCCCTCCATATCATGTGATTCAGGTGCTCTAATCCCCACCATATCATGTGATTCAGGTGTTCCAATCCCCTCCAAATCATGTGATTCAGGTGTTCCAATCCCCTCCAAATCATGTGATTCAAGTGTTCCAATCCCCTCCCTATCATGTGATTCAGGTGTTCCAATCCCCTCCATATCATGTGATTCAGGTGTTCCAATCCCCTCCCAATCATGTGATTCAGGTGTTCCAATCCCCTCCATATTATGTGATTCAGGTGCTCCAATCCCCTCCCAATCATGTGATTCAGGTGTTCCAATCCCCTCCATATCATGTGATTCAGGTGCTCCAATCCCCACCCAATCATGTGATTCAGGTGTTCCAATCCCCTCCCAATCATGTGATTCAGGTGCTCCAATCCCCTCCCAATCATGTGATTCAGGTGCTCCAATCCCCTCCATATCATGTGATTCAGGTGTTCCAATCCCCTCCCTATCATGTGATTCAGGTGTTCCAATCCCCTCCATATCATGTGATTCAGGTGTTCCAATCCCCTCCCAATCATGTGATTCAGGTGTTCCAATCCCCTCCATATCATGTGATTCAGGTGCTCCAATCCCCTCCCAATCATGTGATTCAGGTGTTCCAATCCCCTCCATATCATGTGATTCAGGTGCTCCAATCCCCACCCAATCATGTGATTCAGGTGTTCCAATCCCCTCCCAATCATGTGATTCAGGTGCTCCAATCCCCTCCCAATCATGTGATTCAGGTGCTCCAATCCCCTCCATATCATGTGATTCAGGTGTTCCAATCCCCTCCCTATCATGTGATTCCGGTGTTCCAATCCCCTCCATATCATGTGATTCAGGTGTTCAAATCCCCTCCCAATCATGTGATTCAGGTGCTCCAATCCCCTCCATATCATGTGATTCGGGTGTTCCAATCCCCTCCCTATCATGTGATTCAGGTGTTCCAATCCCCTCCATATCATGTGATTTGGGTTCCAATCCTTTCCCAATCATGTGATTCAGGTGTTCCAATCCCCTCCATATCATGTGATTCAGGTGTTCCAATCCCCTCCCAATCATGTGATTCAGGTGTTCCAATCCCCTCCATATCATGTGATTCAGGTGCTCCAATCCCCTCCCAATCATGTGATTCAGGTGCTCCAATCCCCTCCCAATCATGTGATTCAGGTGCTCCAATCCCCTCCCAATCATGTGATTCAGGTGTCCCAATCCCCTCCATATCATGTGATTCAGGTGTCCCAATCCCCTCCATATCATGTGATTCAGGTGTTCCAATCCCCTCCATATCATGTGATTCAGGTGTTCCAATCCCCTCCATGGACACAGGTGTATACAATCAAGCCCCTAGGCATGCAGACAGCTTCTACAAACATTGGTGAAAGAATGGGTCACTCTCAGGAGCTCAGTGACTCCAAGCGTGGTCCCGTGATAGGTGGCCACCTGGGCAATAAGTCCATCCGTGACATTTCCTGGCTACTAAATATTCCACGCTCAACTGTTAGTGGGATTATAACAAAAGTGGAAGCCACTGGGAACAACAGCCACTCAGCCACCAAGTGGTAGGCCACGTCACATGACAGGGCGGGGTCAGGGCATGCTGAAGCGCACAGTGCGCAGAAGTCGCCAACTGTCTGCAGAGTCAATAGCTAAAGACCTCCAAACTTGGTGTGGCCTTCAGATGAGCCCAACAACAGTGCGTAGAGAGCTTCATGGAATGGGTTTCCATGGCCGAGCAGCTGCATCCAAGCCTTCCATCACCAAGTGCAATGCAAAGCGTCGGATGCTGTGGTGTAAAGCACGCCGCCACTGGACTCTAGAGAAGTGGAGGTGTGTTCTCTGGAGGGACCAATCATGCTTCTCTGTCTGGTAATCCGATGGACGTGTCTGGGTTTGGCGGTGCCAGGCGGAGAACGGTACTTGCCTGACTGCATTGTGCCAAGTGTAAAGTTTGGTGGAGGGGGGATTATGGTGTGGGGTTGTTTCTCAGGGGTTGGGCTTGGCCCCCTAGTTCCAGTGAAGGGAACTCTTAAGGTGACATTTTGGACAATTTCATGCTCCCAACTTTGTGGGAGGAGTTTGGGGATGGCCCCTTCCTGTTCCAACATGACTGCGCACCAGTGCACAAAGCAAGGTCCATAAAGATATGGAGGAGCCAGTTTGGGGTGGGAGGAACTTGACTGTCCTGCACAGAGTCCTGACCTCAACCCCATAGAACACCTTTGATGAATTAGAGCGGAGACTGCGAGCCAGGCCTCCTCCCCCCCGACATCAGTGCCTGACCTGACAAATGTGCTTCTGGAAGAATGGTCCAACCTTCCCATAGACACCCTCCTAAACCTTGTGGACGGCCTTCCCAGAAGAGTTGAAGCTGTTATAGCTGCAAAGGGCGGGGCCAACTCAATATTGAACCCTACGAACTAAGACTGGGGGGCCATTAAAGGTCATGTGTGTGGAAAGGGCGGGGCCAACTCAATATTGAACCCTACGGACTAAGACTGGGGGGCCATTAAAGGTCATGTGTGTGGAAAGGGCGGGGCCAACTCAATATTGAACCCTACGGACTAAGACTGGGGGGCCATTAAAGGTCATGTGTGTGGGAAGGGCGGGGCCCGATACTTAGGGGAATATAGTTTATGTCTAAACTAGAGTTCCTCAACCCTTCTTCAGTCATGGCACCGATGTGAGAATATACCAAATCTTTAAGCACCCGGGTCCAAAATTGGGTCGTCCTCATCACATCCAAATTCCCCCTTCACATCAGAGTTCTTGTGTCACAAACACCCCTTAAAAAAAATAAATCCTGAATATTACCCCCTCCCCTTCACATAAAAGCTCTCAGTTCCCCACTCCCCCCCCCCCCCCCCCCCCCCAGCCCTCCTTCCATTTTCCATATCATAGCAGAGTGCTCACTAATCCCTCCCACACTTCCACATCAGAGTCCTAAGCTTCCCCCCCTCCCCGCATGTTTTCACATCAGAACCCCAAATTCCCCCTATCCTTTCACATTAGAGTCCTCGGGTTCACAGGGTCCCCCCCTCCACATCAGAGTCCTCATTTGCCTCCCTCCCCTTCAAATTAGAATCCTCCCCTTCCCTAGGTATGCAAGTTGCTGATCAGTTGCTTGAGCATGCAAATCTAAAGGGATGCCAGGATGTGTTCTTTTATATAATGCTTAGGAACAAAATAATGAATGGCAGAGTCCTCACTCACACCATCACCCCATTCACACAGGAGAGTCCTCACTCGCACCATCACCCCATTCACATAGGAGAGTCCTCACTCGCACCATCACCCCATTCACACAGGAGAGCCCTCACTCGCACCATCACCTCATTCACACAGGAGAGTCCTCAGTCGCACCATCACCCCCATTCACACATGAGAGTCCTCAGTCGCACCATCACCCCATTCACACATGAGAGTCCTCAGTCGCACCATCACCCCATTCACACATGAGAGTCCTCAGTCGCACCATCACCCCATTCACACAGGAGAGTCCTCAGTCGCACCATCACCCCCCCATTCACACAGGAGAGTCCTCACTCGCACCATCACCCCATTCTCACAGGAGAGTCCTCAGTCACACCATCACCCCTCTCACACAGGAGAGTCCTCAGTCACACCATCACCCCATTCACACAGGAGAGTCCTCAGTCACACCATCACCTCCTTTCACACAGGAGAGTCCTCAGTCACAACACCATCACCCCTTTCACACAGGAGAGTCCTCAGTCGCACTATCACCCCATTCACACAGGAGAGTCCTCAGTCACAACATCACCCCTCTCACAGGAGAGTCCTCAGTCGCACTATCACCCCTTTCACACAGGAGAGTCCTCAGTCACAACATCACCCCCTCTCACAGGAGAGTCCTCAGTCGCACCATCACCCCATTCACACAGGAGAGTCCTCAGTCGCACCATCACCCCATTCACACAGGAGAGTCCTCAGTCACACCATCACCCCTTTCACACAGGAGAGTCCTCAGTCACAACATCACCCCTCTCACAGGAGAGTCCTCAGTCGCACCATCACCCCATTCACACAGGAGAGTCCTCAGTCGCACCATCACCCCATTCACACAGGAGAGTGCTCAGTCGCACCATCACCCCATTCACACAGGAGAGTCCTCAGTCGCACCATCACCCCATTCACACAGGAGAGTCCTCAGTCGCACCATCACCCCATTCACACAGGAGAGTCCTCAGTCGCACCATCACCCCATTCACACAGGAGATCCTCAGTCGCACCATCACCCCCTCTCACACAGGAGAGTCCTCAGTCGCACCATCACCCCATTCACACAGGAGAGTCCTCAGTCACACCATCCACACCCATTCACACAGGAGAGTCCTCAGTCACACCATCACCCCATTCACACAGGAGAGTCCTCAGGGAGCATTCACATCTAAATAGATTCCAAAGATGTGTTATTTCATGTACCGTTCACACTCCCTGCTAGCCACTAACTGCTGTAGAATTTATCTGTGCAATCTGCTGATTAGTTGCTTGAGCAAAAGGATGCTTGGGATGTGTTCTTCCATATAATGCTTGGGAACAAAATGATTAATAACAGAGAAAAGTAAGCTGTAGGAGGTGGCCATAGGACAGTACAGATCACATTCTGAGCCCCCCATTCACATAAGAGTCATTATAATAACAATACACACAACCTACACAATCATAACACCCAAAATAACGAATAATTCCGGATGTGAGAATTCTTTATTATTCATGAACATGGATGGTAATAATTGTACCTCAGTAGCCTCATTTCTTACAAAAATATTTTTTTTTGTATTATTATAATTATTATATTATTAATAATAATAATAACATTCATGTTTGGTGTCGGCATTTCCTGGATTATTCATTCCTCAGTAGCCTCACTTCCAGAGTTATAACCTTTGTGAGCAATAATAGCAATGAGGGCTTTATATATGTATTCTCTGTATCATCACATTTATTATTATTATTATTATTTCTGGAAGAAGAGCTGCTGAGTGGGGAATAAAAATGTATTAATATTAGGAAGAATATTCTCTCTGGAAGTGATGATAATATAATGTGATCCAATGCCGAAATAATAATAATGTTTACATCGTGCTGTAGTTTACACCTCAGTAGCCCTCCATCCAGAGGTAATAATAATAATAATGATAATAATAATAATCCCTCAGTAGCCTAACAATATAAAATAAATAAATAATGAAATTGTTACATTAAATCGTGATCTATTTATTGTTATTGTCTTTTATTGTTGTTGTTATTATTATTATGGGTATTATTATCGTTATATTTGTTATTATTTTTTTACATTACCATTATTATTATTATTTTTATTAATGGTTGGTATTATTATTATTATTACTACTCTATTGTTATTTTATTGCTATTATTGTTTATTATTCTTACTTTTATTATTTGTATTAATAATGTTGTTATTATTATCATTATTATTTTATTGCTATTTTATCTTATTATTATTTTTATTATTAATATTATTTTTTTTATATCGTTATTATTGTTATTTTTATTGCTATTATTTTTATCATCATTATTATTTATTATATAATGGTTGTTGTTTTTTTATTACTGTTATTTGTTTATTTATTATTAATTTTTATTTTTATTATTTTTTATAATAAAATTATTTTAATTATTATTATTTTATTTATCATCATCATTATTCTGGTTGTTATTATTTCTATTTTGTTTACTATTTTTATTACTGTTATAATTGTTTTTATTATTATTATTGTTATTATTATTATTATTATTATTACTGTTATAATTATTATTTTATTATTATTATTATTATCATTATTATTATTATCTTTTATTATTATTATTCTTTTTAATTATTATTATTGTTATTATTATTATTACTGTTATAATTAAAATTTTAATTATTATTATTATTATAATTAATTTTTATTTTATTATTATCATTATTATTCTTTTTATTATTATTATTGTTATTATTATTAACATTATTATTATCATTATTTTTTATTCCTTTTTAATTATCATTAATTATTATTATTATTATTAACATTATTATTATTCTTTTTTTTTATCATTAATTATTGTTATTATTATTATTATTATTATAATTATTATCATTAATTATTATTAATTTTTTATTATCATTATTATTATTATTATTTTTGATTATTATTATTATCATTATTATTTTATTATTATTATTATTATGTTATTATTATTATTGTTATTTTGTGTTTCTGTTATAATTATTATCATTATTATTATTATTATTATTATTCTTTTTATTATTATTATTAATTTGTTATTATAACCATTATCATTAATTATTATTATTATTTTTAATCTTTCATTCCTCTGACTCT